AAGCTGAGATTGACAGCATCAGAAAGGGGGTACATGTGGTCCATGATTTTATATCCCTTCCTTATTTTTTTATTTTAAAGAGCAAAGAACAGAAACAAATTTACAAACACAACGACATAAATGAAACAACACAAAAACAATAAAAATGATACAGAATTTCAAGCAGAGTGATAGGAAATTAACAATGGTTGTTGTATTACATATTATCTTCAAATTGGTTACTCACATAAACAAATATAGGCATGTAAAATTGATTAAACATTAATTGTTCCTTTTTTCTCTTTCTCTTCAATAATCTACTGAGCCCATGAGAGAGAATCTCACAAACTTTTGGAACCAGGAAGCCTGAGACCTTCCCTAGGACTGTGAGTCTTAACTCATTGCAGGCCAAGGCCGCCACCTGGCTGGCTGGGCCTCTGTTCAGGCTGTCTCTGCATGAGTACAAGCTCTACTTGGTATCATCCGGCCTCTCAGTTTTCTTGATTTCCTTCAGCTCAAGCACTCAGCATGCCCTAAGGCTTCCTTTACAAGACTTTAAGCTTTTTGATGGTGTGATATTTCAACCTGCATTACGGGGTTTTGTTTTGTTTTAAAAATTCACTGTTCTAAAATATGTATTATGTGCTTACCAGCATCACAGTGTTTTGCTTATATTACACAGGTTAAAAAGGTGTAAAATACACAAGACAGTTTATCTTTTTAAACTTGCAGTAAAAATGAAAACATATGATTAAATATCAGAAGCAAATAGCAGGCTAAATATCACAACAGAGGCATTGGCCAAGATGGCTGTCTTAGTTACTTTACTCTTGTTGCTGGGACAAAATACCTGACACCCAAAGTTAAAGGGGAAAAGTTTATGTAGCTTACAGTTGTAGAGTTTTCAGTCCATAATCAGCTGGCTCCAACGCAGGGTGGCACATGGCAGAGGGGCAATAGTTCATGGCAGCAGAAGACAGCAAAAGCAACGGAGGGGGGGTGAGGGGGAGAGTAAGCCTCTTTCTTCCCTTATATTGCATCCAGTCTACTAGGATTAGGGAGTTTCCAATCCAGTCAGTGAGCTGATCTATCAGTCACCTAGCCTTCATCCTCCCAGCACTGCAGCACCAATCAGTCCCACACTAGATTCAGCCACCTCCAAAAAAGCCCAATGACTGTGTTAGGCTTTGGAGGGGATAGACACAAGCCGTAACAGCCAAGATGGGACCTAGAAGGGAATAAGGAGGTGGGATTAAAAATGTCACTCTGCTCGAAGGAATACAGAAAACCAGGAAAAGATACTTTTAGTAATGGTAAGTATGATTGGTAGGAAAAAACCAAGTGTCTTGTAAGTGAAGAATGGATTTCAGACAAAGGGCATGAATGAAGCAGTAGAGCTGGGGAAATGAGGGCAGGTTTTAGTTTAAACTCAGAGCAGAGTCTGTGAGGGGAGTCTGGAGGAGATAAAACTAGTTTGCAGGTCAGATGATATTCTTCCTCTGCTTAAAACTTGTATATGGCTTCTTATCTGTTTAGAGAAAAATGTCAAGTCCCTACTACTCTACAGGCTACTACTTGTAGAGTACAGGGAATACCTTCTACTCCTCAATTTCTGTTTTCCTCTACTCTCTCCCTAGCTCCTCCTTCTCTAGCCATTTTGGGTCCTTAATCAGACCCTCAGAGCTTCCACAGGAGAGGCCTGGAGCTCTCTTCTCCCAGATGACTGCATGGTTTGGTCTTTCAAGTCATCTCTAATGGAGAGCCCTGTTCTGACGTCTTGATATCACACTCCCTTTTGCCTCTACTGTCACTCCCCATGCCACTTAATCTGGTGTGTTTTACTTTATAGCACTTAGGAAGTATGATATATTCTATATACTATATACGTTTATAGTATATAATATATATACTATATACTATATATTGTATATATGTTTGATATATTCTATATTCTGTATACGTTTGCTTTTTAATCATTGCCTTCTGTGAATATTAGAGTGTGATTGAGTACAGGAAATGCTACCCCCAAATGTGACACTTGGCACACTTGAGAAAACAGTAGACGTAGAAAGATCTCTCTGGCCTTTGCTTTTGCTTTCTCTGATGACCTCCCATCTTTTCCCCAAGACCATAATAGTAATTCTCTAATCTGTCTGCCCTGAGAGTAGACCACAGGACCCTTCTATGACAGGTATCTGTCCTCTCCCTGGAGTGAAGACACACACACAGACAGACACACACACACGCATACACACAATCAGAACAACAGGCCTTGCTAAGATTCTTCTAGTTTATTACCCCTAGGTCATACCCCCTTTTTGTTCCATCTTACTTCTACACAACGATTCATTTTTATCAAACCTAAGCATATGTATAGTTTTCCTTAGGCCACTGGGTCTTCCTAAGTAAAGCCTCTCATGTCACATAAAACTGGTCACATAATTTAGTTATGCTTCTCTCTTGGTACTGTATCTCTTATAGCTGTGTCAGCCATGAACCGTTGAACGAGTTAGGACAAGACACTACTTTTTCTCACCTGCAAATGTATGCTCCTCTGAGGAGAAGATATACTCACTTCTGTAATCCTAGAAGCAGTACCTGGCACAGTGCTCATACCCAGATACTTTCTAGGGGGAAAAAGGAAAATAAGAGCAGAAAAGAAGTATGAGGGAAAGAAGGAGTTGAATGTGGGCCCTACAGTATTTCGGATATCAAGCAAGTGAATAAAAGTTTGATTCATTAGTCAGTGGGTTGCCTGTGAAAGATTTGAACAGGAGAATGAAAGCAAAAACAAAAGTACTTAGTTTTAAAAATTAAGTTGGTGGTGATATGTGAATGAATTTAAAAGACACCAACTCCCATTCTCCTTCAAGTGCAGCATTCTGTAATGTGGCTATATGTTCATCTACATATGCTTTGTTTTAGATGAATGTCTTGGTTACTTTTGTCTCCTTGCTGAGACAAAATACTTGATGCCCAAAATGAAGGAAGGAAAGGTTTATTTTGCTTAGAGTTTGTGCAGGTTTCAGTCCATACTTGGCTGGCTCCAAGGCAGAGTGGCACATGGCAGAGGGCAAATGTTCAGGGTGGCAGAAGACAGCAAAGCAACAAGCGCAAAAGGGAGGGATGGCAGAGAAAGCAAGTCTCATTCCCTCCCTTATATTGTAAGCAGGCTGCCCCCACCCAGGGGGTGTGTAGCACTCACATAATCTCCCTGCCCTCCTCTTGCACAGGCTCAGGATGAATACAAAGTAAGCACCCTGGCTTCCTGTTCAATCACATAGTTAACCTTCTAAACTTCTCAAATTGACACAATGAACCCCTAGATGGAGAACTGCTGAGTCACTTAGGCAAACCTCTAGACTCGCCAAGTTGACACAATGTTTCAACCATAACAATGACTTTTAATTTTGAACTCATTTAACTCACAAGAAATTGTTAAAATAGCATGGCAAGTTTACTTTGTGTACTTTCCCTTCAGTGATAATACTCTGTATTACTGTAGTAGGTTGTCACATACTAAGAAGGGAATATGGTGTAATACTATTTACTCTGGCACAGACCTTTGCTTCTCCAGCCCTACTAACTAGAAATACATTTCTGAGAGGTAATTTATTAATAATTTCAGAATTGGGAAGAGTGGTGAGTGGCAAAGAGATTATACTTTAAAATTCTTGCTTTATCCTTCCTTACTTCTAGCTTTTGAACATACTCTGCTAGCCATATTTTACCAACAACCCAACTCATTGATTTTCATATATTGTAGGGCATATTTAATTTTATTTATTTGGTTTTGTTTTTCTTCCAGTACCAGGAATCGAACTCACAACCTTGTGTTTTCCAGGCAGGCGCTGTGCCACTGAGCTAAATCCCCAGCCCCTTAATTTTAAATGATACACAGATTTTCCAAAGCCAAGTGTTATAGTTAAAATCTTATGATATAGTTCCTGTAGCTATGCTTTATATATTTGTCTCTGGTTTCTAAATGAGATATATATGTGCTATAGGTACTGTCATAGATTTATATGTTGCTTATATTTAAGTGGATGATTGATAGTCTTTAGTGAGTTCCTGAATTAATATATAGTCCTGTGTGTGACAGCTGAGGAAAAATCAGTCTGTCTTGATACATTTTTTTTTTAAAGAGAGAAAAACAATGAAAACAATGATACAGAATTTCAAAACAAGATAATAGAAAATTAGAAATGGTTATAATATTGCATATTGTTATCTTCAGAGTAGTGCTCAGATTATAAGATATAGGCATGCAAAATTGATGAAAGAATATAAGCATAAACCATTCTTTTCAATGAACTAATAGAAATTAGTAGTATAATTGTCTTAGCTATCTTGTGTGTGTATATATATATATATATTTTTTTCCCTTCCTTCTTTTCTCCTTTACCCACCCCAGATATTCTTTACTTTTGAGCAGTTTCTTTCTCTTTCACAATATCTGTTGTATATTTTGGATCTTGTTTATTCTTTTACTTGCTTACAGTAGGGAGACAATATGATGCTTAGACATGCAAGTCTGATTTATTTTACTTATAAGTATGGTCTTTAGTTGCATACATTTACCTATGAAAACCTCAAGTTCGTCCTTTTTTATAGCTGAAAGTACTCCATTATATAAAGATACCACTTTTTGTTTTTATCCATTCCTCAGTTGATGAGCATTTGGGTTGTTTGCAAGATTTAGCTATGACAAATTGTGCTGCTATAAACATGGGTGCACATATATCGCTGTGGTATGATGTTTTTAATTCTTCTTGAAAAATATCCAGAAGAGGAATAGCTGGGTGGGATAGGACCTTTAATCCTAGTTTTTTGAGGAATTTCCACACTGATTTCCACAGTGGTTGTACCAGTCTACACTCCCACCAACAGTGGAGAAGGGTTCCTTTTCCCCCTCATCCTCTCCAGCATTCGTTATTGGTTGATTTCTTGATGATAGCCATTCTTTCTGGGGTGAGGTGGAATCTCTGTGTTGTTTTAATTTGATGATACATTTCTTATAGGTTCTGAGTTCTATTCGCACAGAATGGGATCCACTGGATGTTTGCTTCAGTGCCAAACAGCCTTATCGGGTGCTCACAGTGGAACACTCCATCAGTGTAGACAAAGAGCCCATGGCTGACAGTTGCATCTATGAATGTGTTCGGAACAAAATCCATTGTGTATCAGTCACCAGAATACCACTAAGATCAAAAGCCATCAGCTGCTGCAGAAATGTTGCTGAAGACAAACTGATTCTTGGCTGTGAGGATTCTTCAGTAGTTCTTTATGAAGCTCACCGTAGAGTTACTCTCTTGGCCCAGGCTGAAGTTTTGCCTTCATTAATAAGCTGCCACCCAAGTGATGCTATTCTGCTAGTTGGCAGCAACCAAGGGGAACTGCAAATTTTTGATATGGCTCTGTCCCCTATTAATATCCAGCTCTTGGCTGAAAACCGCTTACCCAAGGAGACGCTGCCATTCAGTAAATTCTTTGATGTTTCCAGCAGTCTTGTTCAAATGCAATGGGTAGCTCCTCCAGTTATGTCTCAGAAGCCTGAAAGTAAGGACATCTATGATCGCCTCTTCCTCAGGTTTGACAGAGGACCTTTAGGTGTGCTTTTGTTTAAACTTGGTAAGTCAAGGAGGTTGGTGAGTTAGTATAGTGCTGGTGATATTGACATAACTAAGGTAATAAAATTGCTCTTGGGATGTTAGTTTTTCTATTTGTCATTCATATAGTGTGCTTAGAAAGACTTTGTGGATGATTTTTGAATGTCAAAGGAGTATTAATTAGATTCTGAAAAATTTAGAAGTTATGCTAATTGTTCACCATGATATTTGAAAAGGATAAACTTTCACATTTGATACTTTCTAAAATAAACTGTCGTACTGAAACATCTTTTAAGAAATAGGTGAATATTTTTAAAGTTTCTCCTATATCCATTGAAAAACATTGTGCTATAGGAGTATAATACTTTTGTAAAAAATTGTTACAGATTATCTGTATCTGTTATAGAATATCTGTATCTGTTATAGGTTATCTGTTGCTTCCCTGTGTGGAACTGCATGAAGCAAGTGTTTTTTAAAAGAAAGGAGGGCAGATACATAGTTAAAATTTGCTAAAGCTATTTGTGTTAACTTTTTGTTTTATATTTCCCTTTTGGATAAAAATATTGAAAAGGATTTTCAGTATCTACAAAATTATATGTTAATGTAGCTCATTTCAACCAAGAAACTTCAGAATGAAATTTTATTATAATGATTCATTCAATTTTTGCAGCATTACATCATCATGTATGTCCTAAAGTAGCAATAACAATCCTAGATAGTTTTGTATAATTTACTATCTCAAGAGAACCTAACTTAGGTTTTAAAAAGTAAATTTTAATTAATACACATTATGGCAATTTAAACAGAAAAGTAAATACATTTCAAAACCTTTTATAAATTTGCTCTTACAGTTTTTAAAGGCATTGTAGTGTTCATTAAATAGCTTTCAGTTTACTCTGTTTTTATATGAGTGTACTTGTCCCTGAAGTTGAACACATGAAAGAAACCCAGTGAAAATGACTTGATTAACCTAGAAGATATATAGTACACTTAATGTAAGGCTTATATTCCTTCTACATAAGAAAAACGCAGCTAAATCTATTCATAATGTTAATAATTGTGCAAGAAAAAATGTTTGGAGTCTTATTTATTACGAGATAATCCAGTTATACTTTGCCCAACTACATGTTTAACAGTTGTATGTCTCCATACACAACACTAATTAAAGTGGGTGTTTGATGTTTTGCATGTCTGTTAAAACACACACATACACTCTTTCTTTCTCTCTCTCTCTCTGTCCCTCTCTCTCTGTCCCTCTCACCCTTTAAATGACTCAGTTACCTGTCAAACAGAAGGCTGTCTGCCCACATACACCTAGCTTTTCTTCAGCCCTCCCTTGTGGGCCTACTCACAACAGCTTTGCAAAAAGCACAGCTTTCTCTTCCTATCTCTAGCACATTTGCCTTCTTACTAAAGTAAACAGGCTCTCAGTGTAGGGATTTAGAGGGCTTCCTGCTAATTGCCAGCTTGTAAACTTAATTGGACTGTCTCCCTGGGCACTGTTCCTAAATCAATTAGGCAATGAGTTGGCTGTCACCTCTTTTTCCCAAGAAGGTCTCTTGGAAGAGAATTATCCAATAGAAGTCAAGCATTCAAATGAAAAGGTGATAACTTCTGCAACTGACATTTATCATTTAAATTTTATTTTCAATATGACTCTTAAGTTTTATAGGATAGGGAAATTGTATACAGACTCTTTAAAAGACTTAAATATGGGATTGATTTCTAAGAATTTTTAAGCTTTGTTTCTCATTTTTAATGAATTATAAAAGTAATATTTGTATCAAATTATTTTTCCTGGGAAGAGTAGATTCCTTCAAATAGTAGACTCCAGCTAGCAAAATTTTTAAAAAAGAAAACTCAGTTGAAAGAACAGATTTTTCTTATGATTTGCTACTAAATACATCCAAAAATTAATATACTTCTTGAATTAACACAGTGCTGATTCTGGGCATCCATGTGGAATTTTCATGTATAATTCAAGTTACTGCATATGTAAACAGGTAGTTGCATGTGCAGTTTCTCCACTAGGGAGCATTTATGAGATTTTTTTTTTTTCAGATGCTTGTTATGCAAGCCTTTGGAAAATTTGACATGAAAGGTGTAGCTTACAATTTAAAATTGTAAAGATAGATCATAGATCATAGTTTAAAATAGAATGCGGTCATATGTAAACGTGGCAGTGGCTGATGCCAACATGCTAAGATTTTTGGAGTTTGACTCTTAGGTTAGGTCAGTTAGAGTAACACTGAAGGGAAACTGTTCCATGGGTAGTTTCCATTCTTGGTCCTTACGGTGATCACACAAACAAATGTTGAGTATTACTTTTAGAAGATTCCAAATACATGTCTTCCTCAGGAAGCACTAGACGTGTCAAGCTCCTACTAGGAAGCCAAGAAATACTGCTTTATATAAAGCAGTATGTACAGTATTCAGAATTCTTTATATGACAGCCATTATCTTCTATTTCTAGATACGTAGAGTGAGGTTAATTAAAAAGGAAGAGGCCCTAATTGTGCCATTGAGATATTAGAGCTCTTCCATTCTCTTCAGAACCTTTTTGAACCTTCATTGCTCTCTTTAAACTCACAGGATCAGCTTCCTCTTTTCTCAACAGAGCATCTTACTTCTTAACTGGCTCTCCGTTAAGCTTATCAGTGCCTTACCATGCACCCAACCACTTAACCTTTATCATGAATCTTTCTCTCAGAAGTTACAGAAAAAGGAGCCCTATTTCTTGTCTGTGACTGGTTCCACCACTGCATCTGCTGTGTATCCCGCAACATTCCCTTTGACACCTTTATTTTGTCATCTTACTCATCCCCCAAGAATCTTGCTACACTAGCAGCTGAACAGGCCCAAGCCACACCTTACAACCAACTCTTCATTGTGTTTCCCCTTTGTTATTGACCCAAATGTTCACTTTCCTTTCATAGCCAAAGTCATTGACATACTAGTGACACTGACTTTCTCTGCCTCTTCACTTCTCTTTTACTCCCCAGAGTACTGCATTCTGGTTTGTGTCTAACGTGGTATCTTGGAAAGGTCACCCCTGACTTCCTATGTGATAAATACCTTTGTCTTGCACTTGATGACATTTCAGTGTTTCATGGTTCTGACAATTTCCTCTGTCACGGAACTCTTACTGGTTTTGCCTTCTATGACCCTCAATGGAAAATCTCATCACTGTTTTACAGTCTTCTTTTGCCTACTCATAAAAATGTTAGGGCTTTCTAGGGTTTCTGTTCTGAACGGGGTTTCTGTTTTTAGTTCTTGTCTCTTTTACAGGTTGAGAGTTTATTTTTAACTCAGCTATATGCTACGGTTTGAATTTCTTCTGCAAGATTCATGGTGAGATTTAATTGCCATTCTAACAGTAGGAAAAGGTGGGACCTTTAAGAGATGGTAGGCCATGAGGGCTGTATCCTCATGGATGGATGAATGCCATTACTGTGAGAGTGTTTTTGCTAGAAGTTTTTTCCTATACTTCCTATCTGTCTTGTACATATTCACTTGTATTTCTGCCATGTTATGATACAGCAAGAACACCCTCCCCAGATGCTTCCCCTTAATTTTGGTTTGCCTAGGCTCCAGAACCATGAGAAGAATAATCTTCAATTATTTTTAATTTACTCATTCCATTGTAGTAGAGGAAACTGGAGTAAGATAACCTTTTATCTCTGACTTCAGCCCAGATCATTCCTAACTTCATATCCATACATTTACTTGGCTTGCTGGATATTGCTGAGAGTCATTGTGTCACGAAGTCATTGTCACTCTCCTCAAACCTACTTTTAACAAAATCATTGTTACTTTCCCCAAACACTTCCTCTCATAGGTTCCATTTTGGTGGGTGTTACTTCAGATGACACCTCTAAATCAAAACTCATCCCAGAATACTCCCTAACCCCTAATGTTAGCAACCAGATCACATTAATTCTGTATCCTACATACTGCCGTAAAACCTCTCACTCGGTTCAGCCTCACTGTTAATACCTTATTTGTGTAGACCACCTCTATTTCATCATAATCAAGTAGAAGCCTTTATCTGCACTCTTCAGCCTTCTAGTCCTCTTCCCCTGCCTCATTAACACCCGAACCGCGTCAGAGTGATCATTCTAAGGTTTAGTCATGGATTCTCTAGCTCGAAATACCTTAGTGGTGCATCAACCCGTGTCTGTATCGTGGGCTTCTTCCTCCTAGCTATGCTGTGCGAGTATAGCTTCCTGGCCACGCATATGCTCGCTTTCCCCCTCACTCTTTCCATGATGGTGGTAAGAGCGCACTGTTTGCCTGGAGTGACGCTGTGGTGTTCTCACAGAGCCCGCAAAGTTAGGAAAAGATTAAATAATGAAGCAATAATGTTAAACAACAGAATTAATATCCTTCTCATATAATTTTGAAAATTGCAGGTGATGTGTATATGAATGTGTCTGTCTCTTTTTCTCTCTGTAAAAAGAGAGAAGTATGACCTTTGTCCAAGGAACTTTGTAATATACATGTTCTCTTCAAAAGTTCCTTCCAGTGAATTATTTCAGTATTATACTTCACATAAGTGGTGACTGATGGTAGTTGATTGTTAGGAAGAAATGTCATTTATTTTATTAGATTCCTAGTCACCTTGAAATTAGGATCTCCTATGTAAAATGAACTTTATTTGTTCCAGATAGCATTCTACTTCTTCATACCGAATGATAATGGATTTTAAAATCAAATCTATTGAGGTATAACTTACATAAATGTATCCACTTTAAATGTACAGTTCAGTAAGTTTAAATGTATGTACTGCCATCATTACCACCACAATCAAGATATAAAACATTTCCCTCATTCCAAAACATTTTCCCAAGGATCTTTGTTGTTAATCCTGACCTCCCTCAAAGCGGATGATCACTGATCTGTTTTCTGTCTTTATAAATTAGACTTTTTTTTTTATAGAATTTCACAGGAATAGGATCATATGATGAACATTCTTTTGTACGTTAGTGTTTTCACTCTGCATTAATCTGTGAGAATCTACCA